TAAGCAGGCTCCCTGTGTGATTGAGAGCTGTGATCTTCCAGGGCTCATTGCATGAGCTTTGAATACTTGAATACAGAAAGGGACTGTCCACTGTCCCTCAGACCTTGTGGGGGGCCAGACTATATTTTGAAAAATAATAATGACCGAATTCCTATGCCCCACAAATAACCCAGAGATGCATTTTAAATAAAAGGACACATTCTACTCATGTAAAAACACGCTGATTCCCGGACCGTCTGCAGACTGGATTTAGAAGGCGAATGGGCCGGATCCGAGCTCCCATTCACTGCTGCAATGTGCCAGCAAAAAACGGCAACCTCAGGCGCTTCCATGGGAAGTGGCTTCTTTAAAACTGCCAACCAATAACAGCATTAATTATTATTATTATTGATTTTTTAAAAAAGATTATATTCCTTTATATGTTATGAAATATCAGAGTAGTTTTCAATAATGTGTGGTCAGAGAAAAGGTGGCTACACCTAAGCCCAGACCTCAGACTATTGTCCCATAGGATCTTTCCCCACTTTGCAATGTGCATCCCTGCCCCTAGATCAATGTTCCCATTTGCTTGCAATGGGACCCTTTGCTTGCAATGGCTCAGGGATGGTAGAAGGACGAATCAAACCAAAACCAACACAATCAGCATTTGCCTTGATGCCTCAGGCTTGACCAGCAGAGGGCCCCTGGTCACACAGTTGCAGTCCGGGTGAATTCCAGTCATTTCAATTGGGGGGGGGGGAGCCAGAGAAGCACTTGCAGCTCATATTAAAAATGCCTTGGCTGAAAGGAGAGCCAATGTCCCCTACGTTTGGGAAGCCAACAGATTTGCCTTCAAATAGAGGTCCCCTTTCGGGTTTTTTATGCTTGTTTTTCCCTCCGATTTTGCTCCTCAAATGATACATGAACTTGCTCCAAATCCAGTGCTCGTTTCTACTTCACCATCCCCTCCAGCCTTCAGGCAGACTTTTGTGTGCCTTTCTTTGCATGTTTGTTTGATTTAAATCTTTTAATTGAAAAGCTGTTCCAAGGAGGGAGGAAGTGGCTTCATGACTGACACAAGAGTCAACCAGTTCAGTGATGTTTTCATCCTCCTTGGCTCTAAACGGATCGAAAGCGTTTCCCCCTGGCTTTGATCTGGGCAGAGATTTTACACCTGCTCCAAATGCAGAGAGCGTTCTTCGATAGCAAGTTGACTGCATATCTGATGGGAGAGACAAGGAAAGGGAATGTGCCGCTTACCTTATTTTACCGTCCTAGGTGGCTTAGGGACTTTGTTGTCCCCGTTCAGTATTGTAAGCAAAAGTGAAATCCAACTCCTTCAAAACTGGCACAGACAGATGCTGTCATTGAGCTATCAACCCCATCCTCAAGATCCCTTTCCTAGGGTTAAGAACCTGCAGCTGTCTAATTGCGCTTAGGATTTCAACTCCTATCAGCCCAAACAGGATAGCTGATGGTCAGGGGTGACTGGAGTTGTAGTCCAGCAACTTCTGGAGGGGCCCATATTGCTCACTGTTGCTATGTGGTCTGCGTACAACCTCTTCCCCACCCCCCTTCCCACCACAATCCAAGATGCACATGCAGAGGGGAATCCAGTGTTGCGAGCTGGTATTGTTAGACCGGCCGATTGCCAAATTGCATAAGCGGTGTCAAAGTGAAAACATCACAGCCAGGTTACCTGAATGCCCTCGAGAAACCTTATAAACAATGGACCCTTGGGCAGCTGCCGATTTTTCTACCTTGCACGGCAGCACGGCAGCAGAGGATAAACACGTTCTTTGTGTCAATAGTTCAGTAGCATTAAGAGGACTTGGAGTTCTTATCTGTTCAAGGACTGCAAATGAATGCGGTCAAAACAGCCCATCTGCCTACGTACAAATGGGATGTAAGCCCTTTCATTATTAGCTGAAGAAGCTCCTGGCTTTGAAATATGTGTGTCACTGTGCTGAATAAAAATGGACTACAAGATCTCACCGGAGGAAGGCTATTCCTTCTGGAGATATGAATTTGAGCCAATAGGAAAGGTGTTTTGTGCTTCTTCTTCTTCTTCTTCTTCTTCTTCTTCTTCTTCTTCTTCTCTCTCTCTCTCTCTCTCTCTCTCTCTCTCTCTCTCTCTCTGTCTCTTTATTTAAAGGCCAGGAGGTGCTTCTTGAATTACAGGCTTAACTGGAAGAAGACATTGAATGCTTTCACTTGGCCAGCTGTCCACCCACCTGTCTCACACACATCTTGGCCTGACCGCCAAGGGACCCTGGAAGAGGGTCATTTTTGCCTCCTGTGAGTTCCTGCCACTAGGGGCTGAAAGAAATATCTTAATTTTATAAGTGCAACAATGTGGCTTTTTTTGCTCCTTGCATTTAGCATGAATAGTGGTTTCTTTTAAAAAATATATATATTGCAAGTATGAACCACCGTGATATCTACAGATGAAGGGTGGTATTCAAATTTAATAAAAATAACAAACAAAGAAACAAGCAGCACAATTAAATAGTTAGCGGGATCAAAGTAGTTGTAAAAGGGATCATTTAACCCTTTCTATCACTGTTGTAGTACCAAGGGAAAATCCCTTCTTTGATGCTAAAACGGCCCATTTGTATCTTCACCCAGAGTGTCCAAACAAATGCCAATTAGAAGCCCAAAGCAATACATGAGCGCAATATTCCTCACATGGAATTCGGTGGCATAAATAATGTCCCTGATACCGGGAGTAACATAGAACCATTGTGACTAGAAGCCATTCATTTCCTCATTCTCCATTAATTTGTCCAATCCCATTTTAAAGCCACTGAAGCTTCAGAAAAAGGATTTTTCTTAGGGCTTCAGGAGAAGTGGCAGGGGTTAAATTGCCTGCTCTGAGTCTATAAAAGATCCGTCCTCTCCAAGTGCAAATGCTATTTGCAGTTTTGCATGCTAATTTGAAAAGACACATTTGGTCAAATCTAGTTTGGCCTATGGTTACAGTCTTACACACTTGGAGCCACTATCACAGTGGCTGTTTTAAATCATGTTGTTTGTTTATTTAATAAATGCATTTCTTGGGGGTGTGTAGCAACTATGAGATTTGCCTTATATCTGCAGCATCAGGAAACAGCCCAATCTGCTTTGGATCTGCTCTGTGTTGCTCAGTTTGTGCATTTTTCTTGTCTGAATCCGACTGCCCCTTTCTGTACTTGTTCCGTGCATGTTCATTCAAAATGGCAACTTCAATTACTTTCATGAATCACAAATGCCATTTTGAAATGAGTTTGAATGGAGATTTCCCCTGCGAATGAGTTCTGGCGCTGATAGTGTGTTGCGAACCAACTGCATCCATATCTCCTAACTTGGGCAGCTCATGTAAGACGATTTCCCAAAGAGCATGTGAGTTGCCAGTTTGAAAGAGAAACTGTTATCTTCATTGGCTATCCTTGAAATACCACCCAGACTTGAAATACTGTATAAGCTGTTTCAATGTATTCATTTATCGCTTGCAACAGTATATCTCCCTTCGATGATGGAGAGAACAGCAGCTGGGAAGTTCACACAGCATGTGTTAAGTTGCCCCCCTCAACTGACACCACCAATATCTATCTGTCGCTTAAATTGCCACCCCGGTGCTTTTGATATTGAACAAATTCATCAGCCAGATCCTTGGTCCATTCCTCAGAATTGCCACTGACTTTTCCAGTTCCAGTTTACGAACGTTCTTTGGAATCCAAACGTCCGGGGCAGCTTCTGCGGCTTCTGATTGGCTGCAGGAGCTTCCTGCAGCCAATCGGAAGCTGTGCCTTGGTTTCCAAACATTTCGGAAGTCAAACGGACTTCCGAAATGTATTCCGTTTGACTTCCAAGGCACGACTGTATTTTACAGCCTTATAAATGTGTCTGTGGGAAGCAGGGGTTATTGGTTTGCTGTTTGGTTTTACTTATTTACTTGTTTTTATCCAGGGCTTTTTTTTCAGCTGGAATGTACTGGAACTCAGTTCCGGCACCTTTCAGGTGGGCGCCATTGCCATTATAAGAGAACAAGGGAGGCATTCGTGGTGAGTTCTGGCACCTCTTTTTCTACAAAAACAGCACTGTTTTTATCCTGTATTTTGTTCTGTGAACCACCCTGAGATCTTATGAGGAAGGGCAGTATATAAACCTAATAAATAAAATAAATGCAGGTGAAACTACATTGAGCCTCGGTAGGTCCAAGGCAGGAAAATATTTTATTTTATTCATCTATTCGTAATTAGATAACCTGCTTTGCAGAGGGAAACCTGAGGCCCTTCAGATACCTCTGGCCCACAGTTGTCATAATCCCTAACTGCTGGCCATGCTGCCTGGGGCTGACAAATGTTGAGACTCCAACAAGATCTGGAAGTTCCACAGCCCTGCTGTGAAGGTTGTATACAGCAGAAAAGCACCAATAACTATAAAACAGCAGCTTTTTAAAGTAAATTAAAACCTGAATAATATAGCAAAATAATGCATTGGATATGACATTTGGGGGTGGAAATGCCACCAGCCAAACCAAAAGCCCCCCCGCAATAACCACATTTTCTGATGGCACCTAAAAGCCACCCTGGAGGCATCTGAGTGGATCTCCTGGGGTAGAGAGCTCCATATCCTGGGTAGCACTTCTGGAGAATGCTCTCCATTGCATCTCTCCCAATGTCTGGGAAGGTGAAGAAATGAATGGAAGTCCCTTCCCTGATGTCCTGAAGGTGTGGCCAGTTTCATCTGTCAGGAGAAGGTCCTTGGAATAACAGTACCGTGGCAGTTTTTAAGGCTTTATTTTTAAGCTTGTTTCTGACAGGGTGACAGAATGCACTGCAAGTTAGGATTGTGAGTAACAGGGGGAGAAGGAAACGGGAAATTCCATAGTCCAGACTGTAATCCGAAGGAGAAGAGATTGGCTAAAGAAGAAGAAGAAGAAGAAGAAGAAGAAGAAGAAGAAGAAGAAGAGTTAGGAAACACAAGACTTAAGGTTCCTGTCCTTTCTTTTTTCTTTTTGACACAGGTGATTCACAACAACAACAACAACAACAAATTTATTAAATTTGTGAGGTCCATGCCTTTACACAAAATACCATAAAACATTTTTAAAAGATAAACCAAAAGGATTATAAAAGTAGGCTAAAATTCATGCCATGTTGTCCCAGCAAGGAAACTACCCAAAAACCCCACCATTCAAGGAAGAAGGTACAGCAACAGGTTAGGAGAGCAATGGGAGGGACCTCACCGTTTCATCCAGGAACCATACCCTAGTTTTCATAGCCTTCACCACAAAGACCGCTACCACGTGAGAAATCCGTGGATCAGCGTCTACCAGTAAAAACTTTACTTGGTCCTCAGAGTTGACTATTGATTTAGGAATAGTTTGTAACATCGCATCCCTGAAGGCCGAATAGATGGGACAATACAACATGTAATGTATGAGATCCTCTTTGGTTCTCATATAACAAGGACATATCCGCTGCTCTACTGGGATTTTTGCATATCTGCCTGACAGATAGGCCGTAGGAATGGTTTGAAAACGGGCCATAGTAAAGGCTCTCCGAAGAGTGGGATTGGTGATATTCGCCAAGTAGTTGGCGCAGATTTTGACTGCTTTCAGTCGGGGAAGCCAGTGGGAGGACCCTGGGATCTGTATTTTTGTGGTATCTAACAGAGCGTCTCTCTCCAGGATCCATTTCCGGACTTTGTCCGGGCTCCACCGTTTGAGGATATTAAACTCCGGTAGGGTGTATCTAACCAGGATCTCAGATAAGTTTTGGCGCCAAGTGGTATTCTTTTGAAAAGATACGAAGGCTTGTTTGGCCAATAAGGTGTTTGGAGAGTTTGCAAGGTTGATGTAAAATCGTAGGAATCTTAAGTGGGCCCTGGCAGACACAGAGGGTAAACCAACCTCCACCCTCAAGAAGGCTGCTGGGGTTCCTTGAGGAAGGCCTAGAATCTTCTTGAGATAGTAGTTTTGCAAAATTTCAAGCCGTTCCAACAGCCTCTGGTTCCACCCCCAGAGTTCTATCCCATATAACATCTGGGGAATAGCTTTCCCAACGAAAGCTCTTAATGCCGGGATCACCAATTGTCCTCCCCTGGTATGGAAGAAACTAAGCAAAACACCAATTGTTCTTCGTGTTAGGATGGTTACAGCCTTAAAGTGGGCTAGCCAGCTAGATGTAGCCTGGAATGTAACACCCAGATATTTAAAAAAGGGCACTGTTCAATCACTTGTTCATCTAAAGACCATCTAAAGGTGTGGCGAGCTCTAGTAAACACCACAATTTTTGTTTTATCATGGTTTATCTTTAGTGAATTATGGGAACAGTAGGCTGCGATCCCCTCCAGCATGCTGCGTAAGCCTCTTCGGGTGAGTGCCATTAAAACCATGTCATCGGCATATAGCAAAATATTCAGGCGTTTACCTTCAAGGGCTGGAGCCGATGACTTGTACTTTGCCATGTACTGGACAATGTCGTTTATATAAAAGTTGAAAAGAAATGGGGCTAGCAGGCATCCCTGTTTGACCCCTTTCCCCAATGGCAGTGGGTCCGTAAGAGTTCCCGATGGCCCAGTTCTGATTTTGACTGTAATGTCTGTATGTAACTCTCTGAGAATTTTTAAAAGTCGTCTGTCAATGTCCGTTTCATATAATTTTTCCATAGTCTATCTCTACAGATTGAGTCGAAGGCAGATGTCAAGTCTACGAAGGCCACAAAGAGTCTGCTCTTATACGCTTTTGCATATTTAGCTACCAGGGTCTGTAGTACCATACAGTGACCTATCGTATTGTGGCCCTTTCTAAATCCTGCCTGTTCCTGGTTGAACAGGTTAGAATGGTCCGCCCAATCTACCAGCTTGTTTAATAGGTACCGGGTATAAAGTTTGTATGCGATGTCCAGAAGGCTTATAGGGCGGTAGTTTGCTGGATCTTGAATGTCTCCCTTCTTATAGATAGGGACTACCACACTTAGTTTCCAATTTGCTGGGATTTTACATGTGTTGTTCATTGCCGTAAAAAGTTTGGCCAAAAGATGGCCCACCATTGGGCATTTAATTTAAAAACCTCAGGGGGATCATGTCCTCGCCAGGAGCTTTGCCATTTTTAAAGTTTTAATTAGCTGTAGGCACTCTGATTCCGTAACAGGATCCCAACTAACTAGATGCTCATTCTTCAATGGGAGGAGCGGACTCAAATTAGCAGTATTTGAGAGTGTGTATAGCTTGAGAAAGTGTTGATACCACACATCGGATGGAATACTGCTGTTTACAATTTTTCCTTTGGATGAGACTCCCTGTGCTACTATTGCCCAGAATTTTCTATCGTCTCGCGATTTAATCGCCATATCAAGTGCCTCCCATTGTTTCTTCCTGTAAAGGGATTTCTTGAGTTTTAAGGTGTATTTATAGTGAGAGCGCCATCTGTGGAAATTTACCATAGATGACAAAGTCCTCTCCTGTTTTACCTTATTTTGTTGTTTCCTAAGCAGGGATCTTAGCTTCCGGCAGTCTTTGTCAAACCAGGCCCCCGATTTGTTATGTTGTATGGGAGGCCTGGTGTTTATAAGAAATGGGAAAAGGGACTCTGAGACCCGCTGATATAGTGAAAAAGGATCAAAGTTAGGTAAAAGACACTGGTCTCTCAGAACCAATAGATCTGGAGAGTGCAGGTGTTGATTAATTTTAAGCTCCAGCTCGCTGTTCCATTTACGCCTGCGTGGGGCCGGTGCTTGAGGAGGGGCTGCACAATGTAGATGTTGTAATCCCCCTGATTCAAGGGGAGTTAGTGAGATTGCTCTAGGAAGATGGTCGCTCTCAGTTCTATTAAAAGTGCTGAGACCCTGTACCCTCTCCAAAATTGTTGGAGAGACCAGGATATGGTCAATCACACTTGCACCACGAGGGCCGATAAAAGAGAAGAAACCTCCTGACCTGTCCATGTAAGTACCATGCAGGTTGTACAGATTATGCTTAAAAGCAATCTCCAGTAATGTAATACCTGCCTTGTTCAAGACCTTTTCATCAGAACTCCAAGGGATAAGCCAGTCTGCCTCTGGTAGAAACTGGGTTTTGGAGCCATACGAATTGATGTCGCTGCCTATCCTGGCATTAAAGTCACCTGCCAGCAGGATGTTCCAGTCAGGGAATTCTATTTTGGCCTTCTCCAAGCATGACTCCAAATCTTCCCAGATTTGTACTGTCTGAGAGGAAGTACACACGGGGGATATAGACGTTGAAACATAGAAGATCTCCTCCTGTGTTATTGGAGATAAGTAAAATCTGAAAATTGTTGTTCTTCATCCACTGCAGTTGTCGCACCCTGTACCCTTGCTCTATGGGAATAAAAGTGACCAAACCGCCGCTAGGTCGGCCACGGTTATTTAGTTTTTCGCAGGGGTAGCAAAAGCCGCATAGCCCTGTAAGTAAGGGGGATGAGAGTCTAGGCACCAGGTCTCTTGTAGACAAATAATCTGGAATTTTGAGAGAAAATCCAGAAAATCAGCAGCGCCCTGCTTAGACAGCCAGCCCGCCACATTCCACGATAAGATGTGAAAATATGGTGGTGAGGGGAACAAAGGTAGACTTCTCCGTTTGTTCTTTAGGATGATGGAATGAATGTTTTTGTAGAGGTGGAGTGAGCTGTTGGTATCCTTTGTGGTAGGTACTAACCTAGTGAGTTTTGTTTCACTGGCGTGGTGTCCCCTCGCTGTATCTGTCTTTCAGTCCTCCACCTGAATGCCATCTAAGGATCCTGAGGCATCCACAAAGATTGAACCGTTCCTACTCATCGGCATGGCAAGGTCTACCTGGTGTGTTGTTGTTTGAGGTGTTAAGGGTTGTGTGGGAGAACCCACTTCTTCGGGGGACAGGAACCGGCACTGCGTCCAGTCTTCGTTGGATAAGGGCTTTGTTGTGTTAGTAGCAAAATTAAATTCCAAAGGAGCAGAAAAACCTTGGCGGAATACGGATTTTTAATGGTTTGTAACCTAGCTATTAACGCATCCTGGGACTGTTGAATTTGCTCAAGGGAGGCTAGAAAGAGCATCTCCTTTTCATTTAAGATATCTTTTTGGGTTCATTGGAAGGGAGTAAAGTTTTTGGAGCTTAGCCTTCTGTTTGGAAATTTTGACTGCCTCCGGTTGACCTTGTTTGCAGTTTTCAGAAGCCATTTCCAATTCTGTGCGCAGACTAGTCGGCTTACGTGTTCCTAAGAGGGATGGTGGAACGCCGGACTCTTCAAAAAGGCGGGTCACCAACAGGCCAGCCCTCTGGAGCCTGTCCCTCTTGTCCATGATTTGTTTAGTTACCGACCAGTCCTTAAAGGTCACCACAACTCTGTTTTGGGCCATATCAAAAGGAAGAAATTTAACGCTGACAATATTTCCTGCTGGTATAAGGCCTCTGATGACTAAGTCAATTTTCTTAAGTAAATAAATTCTCTGTTGTGCAAGCGTGGAAAGGCCTCCATGCTTGAAGAGAGGGAGGAGGACTAATTTATGTTTAATTAAAATTAAGTTCTGGCTCTTTTGTACTCCCTTCTGGGGAGTTTCTTGCTTTGGATCTGGAGTTTCCTTTAATTTTCCACTAGAGGGCAGCGATTGTTTTGCTAGCCTTGGAGGGCTAGCCACCTGATGTATATTTAAAATGTTTGGGCTTTGGCTCTTATTTGGCGTTGTTTTGTTGGAGTTCTTTGTGCTTGAGTTCTCCAGAATCTTGAATAACTTTGAGAAATTCACTTTCCCAGTCCGAGAGGGCAGCTTAGCCTTTCGACCCATTTTCACATTCTTCGGCTTCTTCTTATGCATTGGGCTCTTTCCCTTTAAGGAAGGTTTCCTAGTGGCCAGTACTTTTCCTTGGGCTAGTTTGGCTCTGCTTGTTTTCCTTTCTTTGGTGTTGGACTGGGTTTTATTTCCATTTGGCTTGTTGATGGCTTCTTTGTGAAAGTGGCAATCCTCTTTCCTCCTGATTAGTTCAATCAGGGAGGTGAGCAAACCCAAACATTCTGAAAGAAAGTTTTTAATAGGCCCCAGTTCTTTAATTAGCTGAGTTTGATGTTCTTCCAACAGATCTTTGTACAGCCCTGTCATTATGTAATTATAGCTGCCCAGGTCTGGATGTCGAGCTCTTGTGTCGTTTAGCCACTCCTCCACCTCTGTCGGGGCAGGGGACCCCCCCTTTCCTCTAAGCATAGGTTGATGGGTGGATTCTTTTGACTTGGTTTCTGGGTCTCCCAGCTGAGGCTCCTGTTCTGGTCGGGCCTCAAGGGCTGTACTTTCTGTAGTTGCCTGTGCCAACTCGGTTGCCAGGTCAACTCCTTTTCCTCCTCCTCCCTCTGCTTCCATGCCCCTTCTGAACGAGATACGGTCGACAGACCATTCGTGCGGATGCAGGCTCTCTATGTTTTTATTTCTTTTCACTTCCTCTGCTTTTGGTTTAAAATAGTATGGAATTTTTGCCTGCTTTTTCTTTGGGGCAGGGGGTTCAACAGCTTGTGCTTGAGCTAGAGGGATCCCCAGTTCTTTATAATTCTGTCTTGTAAGAACCATTTAAGTTATCTTCTCTAGCCGTGTGCTAGGGCCTTATTCAACAGGAGCTCAAAGGTTGTAATTAGCCTCGAATAGGGGAGGAAAGGGAGGATTTAAGAAATACCTCCTGGTAACTCCCGGATTCTTTTATCAGGCTAAAACTTTGATTTTTCTGAATGTCTTTCTGTATTATTGTAATTATTCTGTAAAGCTCCTACTCACTCTGTTGAGGCTCACAGGAGACTTACTGCCGGCGCCATCTTCGC